CCAGAATACAGGAGTAGGGTATTACGCTTCTCAGCGGCCCGAACCTGTCTACATCGCCCGTGTCTTGTGCATTTGCTCTCTCGCGAACATTCCACAGATCGAGGGTGAAGAACCTCACTTAGCGCCCCCGGCCGAACCGGCAAAGGGGGCCTGGGCGGTCTCCCGGTGAGGAGCCCCACGCTCCGTCACCTCCTGTGGGCCGGAATTAGGAAAAAAAACTGTTCTACATACATCTAAAGGAAAAACGATGAATAATACGTTCAAGAAAAACCTATGTACGGACTTATACGATAAAAGCGATAAAGTAAAGAAACAAAAAGCATACATCGTAGTGTCATTGAAAAAAAATCGATGGGCTTTAAAATAGGATTTTCTACTATTTAAAAATAAAATATAGTACTCTATAAATATATGCAGTTAAACTATATCTTGTATATAAAATCTATATATTATCTATTATATACTAAAAGTTAATTAAACTTTCTACAAATACTATTAAGCCGTCATGTGGCACTATAATAAATAAAAGAAATTCCTATAAATTCTAAGATAAAAGCAAAACATGTAGTCTTGATTTTCACATACCCGTTATTTTCAACTGGTAGATTATATCTATTTAAAAAACTCCCTTCTTTTAATCTCCCATTCTCGTAAGTATTGCTCGTAAAAACACCCCCCAAAATACAAGTAATCCCAAGTCGCCACATGGAACCCTAATAAAATAAAAAAAAATCTTACATTCGATTTTTATTTAAATCGGTGGATCTAGATCGTTAGATATATCTTAAAAACAAAAACCTCCCACGTCCGCATATCGTGCACCACGCACATACTGATCAATTTGTACGCTCCTTCTGTTCCTTTCTCTTTTTATATCCCTATCACAATTAAAATTAAAATTGTCTTTATGGAAAAAAATCACAAATAGGCATTAAAGTCCTTTAAACATCTTATAAACATTTCTAAACTATTGTGTGACACTCTTAAATTAGAGAAACATTCATCCATTGGTTTTCACTTAAATCAATAGACACATTATTTTACATCGTTATTCGATCTTTTTTTAAAAAAAAATCATCCCAAACCATATTCCCTTCCTCTCATCCCTATGGGCATTAAAGTACATGAACGTTTTGCTAAGCTGTTACTTGTCTCACTTAAATTAAAAAAAAATTCCAACCATCGGTTTTTTTTACTTAAACATTAACACATTATTTTAGGTCATCAGATCACTCTTTTTTTAATAAAGAAAACATCCAAACCCTCTCTATTTTTCCTTACTTTTCTTTGTTTTTCCTATCTCTATGATAATTAAAATTAAAATTATTTTTATGGGCAAAGAAAAGACCACAAACAAATCTCCACCTATTAGGTCTAGCCAACTTTTTTTTTTAAGTCAAATCAATAACTTAATACCCATATTGACTATATTTAATTGCTAACAAAAAATTACATTATGGACCCACATGCATATTGAGGCCTCCACTTAATAAAGGCAAAAATTTCTACGGGACATTAAAAAAACGTGTGATTAGCTGGGAGACACTACAAGAATGTATATCTGCCACAAGACACTGCAAAAAATGGTAATAAGCTGCCTGTATACCCACGATATTATTTTGTTATCCAAAGGAAAAGGAGATAGAAACAATTGCGAAAGTATGATTTTGCCCCTTTCTGCCATGTGCGGCTCGCATATAGCTCTGACGCCGTCGACGCCACGACATCGGCAGCGGAGGGTACGGTAGCACAGCACGCCACTGCGAGACCGACTGCAATAGCATGTGCTCTGCGGCGCCCTGCTCAACATGAACCAGGCGGTGGCCCACGTTGTGCTCCCCTTAACTGCGGTGTGTGGCGGAGCATCGGCGCCGGCATGGCCTTCGCGCTGCAGCGGCGACGAGTTTGGGAACAATACGGACCCATGGGCCTAGGCGCACGGGCCCTCCTCGATACCCCGCCCCCAGAGAGCCACCTCACCGGCTGCGGGTGCGGTGGCAGCGTTGGAGGTGAATGTGAGGCAGACTTGGTAGGGAGGGGAAAAATCATACTTTTGTGATTGTTTTTCTGTCCAATTCCTTTTGATATTATAAAATAATATCACAGATATTGAACAGCTAATTACTAATTTTTTCGATGTCCCACTCATAAATTAAAAACTACACGGTTTAAAGTAATTTTAGTTCACAATTTAAAAACTACCAGTGCTCAAAGCATGTTAAATAAGTTCATTTTTAGTTTATGATAAAGCAAAAGAATATTTTTTATAGAAACCACCCACACATGAACATTCACAGTAAATTTCACGCACATGCCCGCGCATATGCGCGGGCTACCTTCCTAGTTGCTTTAAAAATCATATTAATTTATCTTTTTTAAAAAATAATAATACTTAATTAATCATAAGAAAATACGTCGCTCTGTTTTTCGTGTGGAGAGAATGTGTTACCAACTCCACTGAACGAACACAGCCGGTTGGGTTTGGCCGGTGAACTGCGGATGCAGTGATGCGGCTGGGTGAAAACGGTTCGGAATCGGTACAATCTCTTCGAAAACGATGTTTGATCGGTTGGTAATTGATTATATATATCATTTAAACTAATCTACATCAATATTAATACGATGAAAAAGAAAATTAAAAAACATAAAATTTATCAATAGCTAAAAATGATATGGTTGAGAACGGTACCTCCTATTAAAAACGGCTCTCGGTCGATCGGAAATTTTCACGACTGTTTTCACCCGGCCTACTACGGCCCTATTTATTTCCCAAAAACTTTTTGCCAAAAATATCACATCGAATCTTTGGACGTATGTATGGAGTATTAAATATAGATAAATTAAAAAACTAATTGCACAGTTAGAGGGGAAATCGTGAGACGAATCTTTTGAGTCTAATTAGTCTATGATTAGCCATAAGTGCTACAATAACCCACATTTGCTAATGACGGATTAATTAGGCTTAAAAGATTCGTCTCACGGTTTTCATACGAGTTATGAAATTAGTTTTTTTATTCGTGTCCGAAAACCCCTTCCGACATCCGGTCAAACGTCCGATGTGACAAAAAAAAAAACTTTTCTTTTCAGGAACTAAACGGGCCCTACCTATGGGGCGAGGTGATGCACTCATGCACGTTCAACCGGACTGTTTCCCCGTGCTGCGCACGTAGGCATTCGTCGGTGTACTTGATGGATCGGGGGTTGTCCGGTTGAGAGCTGAGACGTGCAAGTTGCAGAGGGTTCGTTGTCAGTTATTAAGGATGCTATAGTACGAGTACTTGCTACAGTGTTTTTAGATGTTGCTATAGTTCTCGTTTTAGGCGGAGGCGGAGCTAGGATTGAGAAGGATTTGATGGATAATACTTTGTTAAAAGTCTTAGATAAAGCTTAATATATCATTGCTTAGGTTAATTATCTAATTAATTAGAGGATTATATAAAAAAAGGAACTGTTGGAGGAGACGAGGCTACTGGTCGTCCTCCTACCTCTACCACTGTTTTCAGGGGGTTATACACCCCTATTAATTTTTGACTTGGATTTGAATGCCTTCGCATTGATGCTACAAAGTGAAGTTTTGATATGAATGTTATTGCAGTAGTTAATACTTGTAACCATGTATGATTTGATCTTTGATTTATAGAAATCCAATGGATTCTGATTTGATTTTGACTTGCATAGTCCAATGGGTTATAATTTTCTACTAGTCAATACTTCGTCAAAAAAAAAAAAGCTAACTTCAGATGGGAAACATTCCATCTTATCCTAGGTTGGTTTTTTAAGGGATGGAGGAAGTAGTATTCCTTAGGAGTGGATGGAATAAATTAATATACAATTATGGTAATTTAATGCTTGATTCGATGTAGTTTTGGTTTAAAGAGTTTGATGTGCAGATTGTAACTTACATAATAATCTACCAAATGTTACTTTATCCCTATAATATTAATCAGCATAGATGTTGAACCATATCACTATATCCATCGATTTATATATGTCAGATTTGAGATGGTTTTTGTTTGCTTGGTTGTGATTCAGACATGGGTTGATTACATTTGACTATTACATTGTTCCAAGGATGGAGAACATAAAATTTCCTACATTCATTGGAGAAGTGTCATTATAAGTTTCCTACATTTAAAAAAAATATATTATTATTCTTTATCTATTTGGAGCCATTTCGTCATGATTTCACACCTATTAGTTATATGTCACTACTTATTATCCTTTTGATGTGTTTATCAAAAATTTTTTTAATGAAATTACCTTATTCTTATTTCTTCCATGCCCCTCTCTCCTCTCTATCTCCCACTGCTGGCAATCGACAACGATTCCACGACCACGCAATAATCCAACCAACGAGGCATGTTCTTGAGGATCTAGCAGCAACGGTGTTACTGTTGAGCATGACCAACTTGCCCTGGGCTTGACGGATCTAGCACAAGCACCGTTAGGTGCGACTGATTTAAACTTGAGTGGGCTGGTTTCACCACAATAACCTAATCAGTTGAGGTATACTCACTTCGCAAGAGGGGATATATCTTGAATATATATAAGATTGTAATATATGGCATTATTTCAAATAGATGACTAGTAATATTATTTTTTCAAAACGAGCAAATCTATAATTATATGGATTTAATTAACCATTTTTACTTTTGGCTTCTTTTTCGAATCAAACGTACGCATGGTGCTATGCTACGCTTGTTTACACGCAAGCTAGCTTGGTGTAAACACGAAAGACAAAAGGTTTATTTGAAAATATACTAGCTTGTAAATACCGTTCTCATGGGCCTTCACAAAAATGAATTCCGAGCAGAATCATGATTCGGACGCACGTGCTAACTGCGAGCACATCTGAGATTGATGTGCATGAACAAGTTGACGATCGAGGATATGACAAAAAAAAAAAGAAGAGAAAACAAAAAAGCCTTGCTTACGCAAACTAGACACGTGTAGGGAGATCACCAACTCCAACTACACTTACGTGTACTCTCTAGCTTCGATTTTTGTAGCATCCGGAGACGACTGGAATTAATTAATCAATGTGCATCGATCTATGATGCCAGACAACATGCACAGTAGCAGCTTAATTAGCAAAAACAACAATTAATTACATGTGGCGGCTACAAGCTAGCTAATTAAAGCTACGGCCTATGCAGGATCCTCTTGGCGAAGACGGCGGCCTCGACGAGCGACGTGATCTCGTCGGCGACGTCCGTCACGTTGCACTGGTTCCCCTCGAACGTCCTGATCCTCGCCGCCGGCGACCTCACCGCCGCCACGCAGTCCAGCAGGCTCTGGTTGCACAGCATGTTGAGGTAGTCATCTGCACACATGCATTAATTTCGACAGACACATCCCGTTATCAGTGTACACCGTATTAGGGTGTGAAAACGATCGGAAACGGTCGGAATCGGTAGCATCTCTTCTGAAACGATGCTCGATCAGCCGGTAATTGACCATATTTATCATTTAAACTACTTAGTATCGATATTAATACGATGCGAAAAGAAATTAGAAAAAACAAAATTAAAAAATAGTCAAAAACGATACGGTTAGAAACGGTACCCCTTAAACGGAAACGGCGCCCGGTCGATCGGGAATTTCCGTGACCGTTTTCACCCCTACACCGTATGTCGATAGGTGCGGATCCAACATGAGTGCAGGAGAACTCGATCGAGTTTTCCGGCTCTATTCTATTGGATCACCGTTGATAGAAGAAAAGAGGGAGGGAGAAACAATAGGAAGCTGAGGGAGAAAGGAGGAGACAAGCTCCCTCTCTCTAATCTTATATTGGATTTGAATTTGTCCCAATGTGTAGATGTTCAAAATGATCAAAATGATAAGTGAAAAAGATTGGTGTGGAATTCAGGGTTCAAAATTTCGGTTCTATCGGAACCCCTGATACGATATTATTTCGGCCGAAATTTTTATTTTTATTTTTGAATTTGATAATATTATGTTCAAAATTTGTCAAATTTTATTCAAAAATTCATAAAATTTCGAACCAAAATTTTCAAAATTTCAGTATTTCGGCCACCCCGATACAAACGAGCACACCAAACATTAAACCTGGTGTGGATACGTACTGTCGGTGGCCTGGACACATGCGTCGTGGAGCATGCAGCAGGCGTCGAGGGCGTCGCAGGGGGCCTCGCCGGGGCACCCGGTGTACGACACGCCGCAGTACTTGCCGTACCGCATCAACGGCGCCTCTGCACACGCAACACGCAAATTTCACAACAATTAACACTTGCTCACAACACAAATTACAGCAAGAGAAACTGACAAATTATAATTATCGATCGGCCAGGGAGAGTGGTATATATATACGTACGTACGTGCATACGTGCCCAGGCAGTGCTCCGACTCGCACGTCCGGCTGCACTTCTGCATCATCGATCAGCCAAAAGAAACAAGAAAAGAACATCAGAATTAGCCAGAACGATCGACCAACGAAATCGCCGGCTTTAACCTTTCCAGTAATTAACGATACTATGTCTCTCTAACGTACCTCGTCGTTGTCGGCGGCGGCGGCGGCGGGACCAGACGCCGGCGGCGCGCCGCCGAAGAAGCCGGCCAGCGAGTGGTCTGCGGCGGCGGCGAGCATGAGGGCGACGAGGAGAAGCTGCCGCCGCTGGGCGTCACCCATTATAATTTGGTACGTTTGCTTCGCCTAATCGCTGATCAGCTCGCCGTGATTCGCAGGAGAAAAGAGGCTAATAAACCGCGCGACGGGTGCGTGCAGATAGGCATGGTAGGTGGCAAATTGGTTGGGAAAAAATGGGAGCAATTCAAGTGTGTGTCAAACAAAAGACTTCCAAGAACTGACCATGATGTGCTCTTGCTCACAGCTTCGGTTTAATTTCTAAGAGGAAAAAAAAGGTTTATTTAAAAGAAAAGTGTAAATTATTGCCTGCAGATTGAAGGTTGTCAACTGTCATTGTACTTTGGCTGCATGTAAACAATGGATTAATCTGGCGATCATCTCGTTTCATCATTTTGTTAGCTCAACCGCATGGACGGATGTATTCATGTATATGCTGATTTGCATCATTGCATGCATGGATGTGGGGTCAGCCGGTCGGGTTGGTGATCGATCTCTCCGTGGGACCATTAGCCATGCTTGCATATGCATGTTGATTGATTAGGGTAGCATTGTTCATGGATCATGATGGGCGTCGGTTTTGACAGGAGATCGGATGCTCCGGTCCCGGCCGGCCCTTTCTAGGCCAGGTTTCTTTCCTGGGCCCATCCATCATCTTTTAATCCAAGAAGAAGAAGAGGAATAGTTTTGTTTTTCATGTGGATGGCAGGCAAGATCTTGTGTCCACTTTGGCTCATTCATCCTAGTAAAAATTCTGTTATAAAAGTCAGCTTGTGTCCTTTAGTAAAAGATATATGAAGAGTACAAACTCAGAACTGTGTTTTTATGGTGCGGTCCATATAGCATATTCTTTCATTTTTGTTTTCAAATATGACATTCTTTACTTCTTACTATCTCATAACTTTGTTTGTGGCATCGCCAAACATTGATGTTAGCCGATGTGGTAGACTTTTTCACCACGTCAATGATATATAGGCAAACACAGCTACTTTAAACATGGGGTAAATTGAATAGTTTGAATAGCTTAGGGGTGTTGGATATCTGATTTTAGAGGTGAGAAGATTGTTTTACACGGACGCTATAAAACAATAGTTGGCTTAGTTTTAGCTATCTTATCTAGAACACTGAATCACTAAAGTTTCTTGCAAAATTATCGTGTCACGTCATGAAACAAATATGCATGAGCCATTCCATTTTTATGGAGATGTTGCAAACCTTCTTTCACAAATAGGCCTGGGCTCCTACTCTCCCACGCCCCTGTTGTGAAAACAAAAAAGCTGCAAACCGCCTCATCTTATCGTCATCACGCTGTCCACGGCACTGCCTCCAAGGACGATAGACTACTTCACCTTTTACTCCCTCTTCCTTACGGCCAACACATCTTTCTCCTCGCCCTGCCTCCTCCTCTTAGTGGTAGATATAAATAAATAACCCAGTCTACTTGAGGTTATGGAAAATTAACAAGCAAGGAAGAAGCCATAAGCCAATCTAACGATAAAAGGAGCAAAAATAATAGGAGAGCCTTACTACTTCCTCCATTTCACAATGTAAGACTTTCTAGCATTGCTCACATTCATTTAGACACATGTATGTGTCTAGATTCATTAACACCTATATGTATATGGGCAATGCTAGAAAGCCTTACATTGTGAAACGGATGGAGTATATTACAAGCACGCATGAAGAAAACATCCTACTATACATAATATAAAGTTTATGGCCAATATTGCAATGGCGTTTTAAGACAATCACAACATAAATTACAACTCCACCAACATAAAAGTTGTTATAATTGTAGTGTTATAAAACAACTTTTTAAAAAATATACATATACATTTGCACTAAATGAAAATCTAAAAACAGACTTCCAGCTAACCAGAACTACAATATTATCTTTTTTTTAAAAAAAGAGAGATAGCAAAAACCCCAAATCACCAAAGAGCGCAAAAAAAAAAAAAACCTAAACCTATCTTTATCATACCCACACCGTCCACACACAGCAAACACCATTCCCACCCACTAAAACCCCTCCACGTGTCCCCCCCGAACCCAACCCACCTCCCCCCCAGCCACACGCCCGCACCCGCTCCCCTCGCCGCACGGCCCGCTCCCCTTGACCGCCACGTGTCCCCCCACTGACATGCGGGCCCCACCCTCCACCCACGCCCTTCCTCCTCCTCCTCAAATGAATCCCCACCTCCCCCTCCCCACCAAAGCCGCGTTCGCATCCGCCGCCGCAGCCGCAGCCGCCGCCGCCGACGCCGACGAGGAGAGGAGGAGAGGGAAGGCGAGAGGGAGGTAGGTAGGTAGGCAGTTAGCCATGTCGCCGGCGGAGCCGACGAGGGAGGAGAGCGTGTACAAGGCGAAGCTGGCGGAGCAGGCGGAGCGGTACGAGGAGATGGTGGAGTACATGGAGCGCGTGGCGCGCGCGGCGGGGGGCGCCTCCGGCGGGGAGGAGCTCACGGTGGAGGAGCGGAACCTGCTGTCCGTGGCGTACAAGAACGTCATCGGCGCCCGCCGCGCGTCGTGGCGGATCATCTCGTCGATCGAGCAGAAGGAGGAGGGCCGCGGGAACGACGCCCACGCCGCCACCATCCGCTCCTACAGGGGCAAGATCGAGGCCGAGCTCGCCCGCATCTGCGACGGCATCCTGGCCCTGCTCGACTCCCACCTCGTCCCCTCCGCCGGCGCCGCCGAGTCCAAGGTCTTCTACCTCAAGATGAAGGGCGACTACCACAGGTAAGATTCGATGGCCTTGATCTAGTATGTGCGCGCGGCGAATCGACCAAGAATTCGAGATAGGAGGATTTGTTAGGTCGGTGAAGGTAACATGTAGGGAGTTATTGGGGGTGTGATTAACTTCTAGGATATTCTTTTTTCCTTTGTTTATTATATGATTGGTCTCTGGGTTAATTAAGGTTGTACGGTAGGATTTGATTTGAGTTGTGCAGGTCCAAATTTAAGATCTAATGGTAGTTTTTTTTATGGGTTGATAGGTGTATGAGATCCCTTGTTACTGTACAGGTCTATGTTTAAGTCGTGGTCTTTATATATGATGTTAACATTTCCTCTTGGCGGTGAAAAAGTCAGAATTAGATGTGATGTCTGTTAATGGAGCGGTTGAATGCTAGTTTTCTTCATATTCTTGGGGATCTTGGCGCTGCCTAGGAGTTTGGTACCGATTAAAGGTGTGAAAATTTTTCATCTTGATGGATGTATGATTTCTCTTGGTGACGATTTGTGAAGGTACCTTGCGGAGTTTAAGTCTGGCGACGAGAGGAAGCAGGCTGCGGAGAGCACCATGAATGCATACAAGGCTGCTCAGGTTGGATTTGTGATAATATGTTTTTTTTTTGTACATGTGGATGCAATGGTTAATTGGTTAGTCTTGTGGTTTGAATTTAGTTTTTTGTTTTGCGTGTGTTGGCAGGACATTGCTCTCGCAGATTTGGCTCCGACCCACCCCATAAGGCTTGGGCTTGCACTCAACTTTTCAGTGTTCTACTATGAGATCTTGAACTCCCCTGACCGTGCCTGCAACCTCGCGAAGCAGGTCTGCTTACTCTACTTCTACATCCACTTCCATTTTCCCCTTTAATTTTCTATTCTGTTAGTTGCATCATGCATCTTCAATGTACATTTCTTTGTATGATATATTTTCATGCCAAGTATTTATCCACTATTGATTTTGTACCATTAAGGACCTGCTTTCTACTGGAATACTGGTTATACTGGAGATATCATGGTGGATGAATGGAGCTTTTTTTCTTTGCTTTTGATAAGCATGAAAGCTGACTTTTTCTAGTGGAAGTTGTACTTGCATTTCTTTTTATCGAAAAGGCATCCATGTTGCTCATTCTGAAGATATATGCTACTTTGTGAGTGCATGAATGATAAATTAATTTATACTAGAAACTTAAGCTGCAATCAGGTTGTTTCTGTAGCTGAAATCCCAAAACGTACTATTCAAATCCCTTGGCACCTGTTGGATGCATTTTTTGGCTGATTTTCATGACGAGATACAGTTTATGAATGATGTATAACTTATATGTTACATTTTGACTGTAAACTTTCAAGGTGATGTTGATCAAATGGTTGATATTTTTATTTTCTTGATTCTCCTGATGTTCCTTCTTGTAATTTGTGTCTATATAATTTTCATTTGCCATATACCCATGTTATAATTTTGACAGAAATTTCGCATGTTCCATTTAGACTTTGCATCATGTTGAACCTTCACAATCTTAAACCAAATGGTTAAAGTAGTGTACCTTTGTTTTGGAGCTTGGAACGGTAAAGAAGTGAGAATTATGCCATTTCTGTGTGCTGATAGAATTCTTGTGACTAACTCGTTCTAAGTGCTGATACATTTCTAGTTGCTTCAAATAAGTAGAATTAGCTATATAAGATGCGAAGGTTGTTTCTGTTCTTAAGTAATAGTGTGATCATATTTTATTTGACATTCACTTAAAAATCAGAACACGGAACATATGATTTGAATGAATCCATGTTTCTTGTAGGCGTTTGATGAGGCCATATCAGAACTGGACAGCCTTGGTGAAGAATCCTACAAGGACAGCACTTTGATCATGCAGCTCCTGCGTGACAACTTGACTCTGTGGACTTCAGATGCCAATGTGAGTTTCCTGAGCCATTTGATCGTTTCTGTCCTATCTTCGTGGTTCTGATATCAGTTTTTTTGTTTTCTCTTTTCTGCAGGATGATGGTGGTGACGAAATCAAGGAAGCCGCAGCTCCAAAAGAGCCTGGGGATCAGTGAGATGAATTCGGACGCCAGTCTGATGCACCATCTGTTGTTGTTGGGGCAATGGACATTGATGTCTTCGGCTTTCAGTAGCTATCTTCTAGTACACGAACTGTCGTCGCACCATCGCGGAGGAGACGATGATGTTCTTAAATTACTTAAGTAGTTCTGGGTCACGCTTTTGTTCAGTTGATAAATGATGGCTGGATCCTGGTTTTCTTGTTCCACGATGCCAGCCACAGGAAAAACCCTACTATTCTGCACTGTTAGAATGCTGTTATATTAACCATGTTTGACAAGACATTTTCAGTATGTTTGTATGACCGTCTTGGAAGTGTTTGGTTGAACCTGTCTCAGGGTCTTTGGTCCAAGACATTATTCACCTGGCTTGCTTAACTCGTTTTAGAGAACAAAAAAATATTGTCTGTATGGTGACATGCTTGAGTTCACCGTAATCTCATGACATTGCTGCTTCTGTTAATTTGACCAGTGGGCTATCTGCCAGCTTGTTTCGATGGTGACAAGCCTGGAATTGTTTGTAGCAAAATCTTTCCTACTCTTTCTGAATTCTGGTGGTGATCCCAGTTCTGGGCTGTCTGCCAGCTTTCTGATGAACGGATGAACAGGTTGACACGTTTCGTGAACTTTATATATAATATTTTTAAATACTGTTTTAAATCTGATTATCAACTTTATAAATTATAGTAGTTAATTCTTTCGATTTTGTCCCTAACAACATTTACAAATCGTTAAGCCCTTGAACACCAAAGAGCATCATGACCCGGAGGAAAGCTCGGGGCGCGTTGTGCACCGAATCACCGATTCTCTCTTCTTTTTCTTCTTTCAGAGACTTGAGATAACATGATCTGATTTTCTCCTCTTTTCTTCTTGCTCAGAGAGAATCACAGGATCTGATGAAGCTGGACGTCGGTGGGGTGTGGTCAAAAAAAGATGTCCCTCTCCATTGAAAGCAGCACACATATGCAGCCTTCTGTTTAGCAGTAGAATCTGATGCCCACAATCTGGGGGCGGCACCTCGCTCGCCGCACGCTGGTGTCCGTGATTCGCTGCATTTGAATCGGAGACCGAGATAGCAAACGCCGCAAATATATAATCTGCACATCGGATACCTCATACCTCTGCCTTCTCCTTTGGTACCTGCTTTTCGGGCCGCCTCGACAAGCGCCCAGAGATGCTGGTATAGATGTTTAATTACTACAGGTAGCAGCACAGAGTGTACACAAACCTTAAGATTTATAAGAACAAGATTACCACACGTGTGGCATATCTCCAAGCAGGTTTTGTCCTACAAAAGTCCTCGCTAACTTGTACTTGAAGAGAGATTATTTTTATCTATAACCGTCCAAGAATATGTGTGCTTTGGAACAATGGAACATGTACTAATGGGTAGTACATGCATTGACACAAATTGCATCAGAACATATGGAGCAGAGATATGCGCAAACTGAAGAAAACAAAAAAAAAAACTAGAACAAACCTTTATTTCATAACTTTTTTTTCAGATCTTTTTCCTAACTTCTAAGGATGAAAACTACCAGTAATCCTCTTTTTGTTTCTTTTTTACTACTATTACATAGGGTTGTGACAACAACAGATATCAGTAATAATCATAGGATCTAAATAAATAAGAACAAGCAATGGAGTTGGGAATCACTCATCTTCGTCGGGCCTGCTCGCGAGGCACAGCTCATGGAGCTCATTGAGAATCCACTCCTCCCCAGTGTGGCCACCCAGGACAAGAACCCTGGTGCCGCCAACCACGCATGTGCTATGACCCCAGGCGAACTTGGGTGGCTGGCCAGGGACGTTCAAAATCCTCCATGTCGGCTTCTCCTCCGCTGGGTCGAGGAGGAACAGCTGTGAGGGCGAGTGCAGCCCAGCGATGGAGCCACCGAATATGATTATCCGTCCACAGGGGAGGCTGACCGCGACATGATCGAGCCTCGGAGGTGGACCGATGCTCGGGAACCCGGTTGTCGCCAGTTGCCTCCATTGTGGGCTGTCTTCACCAGCGTCCATAGTGTAGGCATCACAGGAGCGTAGCCGGAGAGAGCCGCTCTTTGCCAACCCACCAAACATGAAGAGTTTGGTCTTACCAAAGACGGACAAGGTGTGGCCGAGGCGGGATGGTGGTGACCAGGATGTTGGGATCTCCTTCCATGCTGGTTTTTCCTTGGTGAGGTCAAGCAGGAATGTGTCACTGAGGAGCACACCGGATTCAGTGCACCCCCCTGAGACAACAAGCTTTGATCCATCCAGGGTACATGAACTGTGCCATGACCTCGGCAATGGTGGGCCCTCGCTTGCAACCTCCCTCCAGGTGGGCTGCTTGGCATCAAGGTCAAGGACAAAGACATCATTGAGCAAACCTTGCTGTCCACAGCCTCCAAAGACCACTAGCCATGAGCCATTCAGCCATGAGAGAGTGTGCCCCCACCGGCCGGGTGGAGAAGCTGAAACTTTGACACGGCGCCATTCAGGCTTTGCAGATTCCAGGTTGAGCACAAAGGTATCATCCATTGGCTGCATGTTGACTCCTTCACCTCCAAACAGGACAAGGCGATTACCAACAGCACAGGCACTGAAGTTGCAACGGGAAGGCTCAACACGACCTCCAACTGTAAACTTCCTCCATGAAGCTGCCTCAAGGGTTGTAAGCTCTCTTGCAAGACGACCCCATCCTAACATCTTGGTGCTCATCTCAAGCCTCACAGTGACGTCTCTTCCCCACGCGTTTTGACATACCATCTTTCTCAGGTGATCATTCTTGGTCAACTCATGCATTCTAGTGCAGACTGATCCGATGGATGCAACATCTCTTGGCGATAAGCGAGACAATATGTTGTGCGCCAGAACTTCATCTGAGAGCTGGAGGATGCAGCAGTACTCGGAACTTTGAATCTTAGGAATATGTTCATGAGAAGCAGGGTTGATCTCTTGAATGTTGGGTCTGTGGTTGGACTGTTGTTTATACACTGGATATGATACATTGCTAAGATCAATGTTAGCTTCAGAGAACAACTGGATTCCAATGACGTGAGTCACAAAACCATCATCCCCATGCATTGGAATGAGCCTTAGCCTGTTGTACAGTGGAGCACCGTCCTTCCGAAAATTCAATAGCTCACCTTGGAACTCAATTCCCTCATTCAAGCATCGCCGGATCTCTGAAACAACCATGGGATCAACAAGCGGATGTCGTCTTTGGGCACGTGGATCCCGGAATTGTAAGAATCGGCTGAAACAAGTTTGAGTCAACAGAGTAATGTGAGAAGCTTCTCTAGGCCCTCTGTCAAGTTATGTCACTGTTAGCTTGATGCAAATATGATACAGTTGAACAACTCGTATAAATGAAAAATGATAGTAGAATAACAGCAATTCAAGCATAGAGAACATGCATTTGTCTATTAGCTTTGTCGCAGACAACGAAGAAGAATGTGGCTTTTTGTTTGGTTTCAAATGTATTCTGTTAACCTAGTGCTAATTGCTAACATTGCTAAACATTAGGCAGAAACTAGTCCAGCTATTTTTTTTATGCTTTGTTGGACTTTAGTCGAAATGCAAAAAAAAAAAAAAAACCCTACATTGAATACTTAATTATGTTAGCCAATGCCTAGAGCTTATGCTGATTGCTGAATGTCCAAACTACTCCCTCCATCCCAAAATGTTTGACGCCGTTGACTTTTTTAAAAATGTTTGACCGTTCGTCTTATTCAAAAAATTTAAGTAATTATTAATTCTTTTCCTATCATTTGATTTATTGTTAAATATACTTTTATGTATACATATAGTTTTACACATTTCACAAAAGTTTTTGAATAAGACGAACGGTCAAACATGTTTAAAAAAGTCAACCGTGTCAAACATTTAGGGAAGGAGGGAGTACTTATGATGGAACACAGGTTTAACTAAACTCATCCAATGAATCTTTTGGAAATAAAATTAATATGTTTGGAATTGTTTGTGATGGCATGATATGTCAAAATGTAATATAAGAGACAAGTTCTTGCATCATGTAAGCAATTCAATAAATTGTTTTTCAAGAATTTTCATAATCTGACAAAAGAGAGGCTAATTGTGCAGACTGCACACAAGAATATTTACCATTCGACGTGGACGATTAGAGCAAATCACCACAAAATGGTAAAACGACATTTACGGAATGAGTCCCTAAAAGACTTTCCCCTTCTTTCCCAACTCACATCTCTCGTTTTCTGCGCGCACGCTTTTCAAACTGCTAAACGGTGTGTTCTTTGCAAAATTTTCCTATAGGAAAGTTGCTTTAAAAAAAATCATATTAATCCATTTTTTAATTTTTTTTAGGCTAGTACTTAACTAATCTCGCTCTAATCGCTTACATTGTTTTCCGTGTCAGGAGGTAAACCTTGCCTCCTGAAGACAGCCTTAAGCAGTACAGCACGAAAATCAAGTTCAAACATTTACAACCCAAGTCAAATTTCTCAAAGTTTATCTTCATATTACATCCAGAACTTCCATTTATGCTCAAAATTGAGTTCCGAATTCTGAAACTGACCATAATCAGCTACTTGTCAACTGAAAACCCTTGCAGGTGTAGTACTGTAGTACACTTATAAGGTTGTCACCAATAATAGCTTTCCATATTGTTAATACGGATCAAATTTCACAGTTGGTGTCCAAATTCAATGTTAATTTGTCATGTGAATACATTCATAGTTAATTATTTTCCAGTACCATCCAAGAGAGGAGGAAAAAGTCTTACTAATCCAGTATAATATATCCTCCTAGAGCACTAGCAGGCGACCACTAAATATGATATATGCCAATGGAAGACTAAAGTTACTAAGTATTAATTGGTAGCCCGGTGGTAAAAAATAAAAAGGCCTGGCTAAAACCGTGATGCTCCCTGTTGTAAATTTTTGTACCCACATGCTACAGACAACTGTGCTATATTCCAATTAATGGCCTACCCATCTCATTTTATATTCACAATATATGCTACAGTTTATTCTTCCATCATCCCTTTTTCTATGTGCAAGTGGCTACTTTAGTAGAGCAAGAGAAGAGAAGATATATCAGGGGAAAATATCTAACGGGTAGCCATCACCCTTGCTTGCCCAGCCTCTTCCCACCAGAAAACAAAAATGACCCAGAGCCAGAAAGAATATATGAACATTTCGTTGTTCGCCTCTAAGGTCCAATGCAAATATGCGATATAGAACTTCCATACACAAAATTTGTTTCAAAAGCCATTTCATAAATTTAGCAATAACATGAATATATCCAAACTAGATCGCGTAAGCACCTTTCAGGCTTTTACTGTACTTGAACAACATTATCTACAATTTACTTCGATTGTTGGCTTGCTCGTGCTGTGCTTAATGTGTAGATTAAAAATCAACAATGTCACCATTACTCAGAGATTGGCTCTAAAATACAGATGGTCTAACAGAAACAGTACACTTCAAATTCTGGCTAAATCTCATACTGGCATGATACCCATCTATAAATTTCAAAAAAAAAAAAAACAACCAATCAAAAGTGAGGATAAAATGCTAAAATTTACAGCAACTAGTCAGGAATCACGCATCATCGCCGCAATTGCAAGCATTAAGGCAGAGACAGAGTGGTGCGCACTCTGCACCGTACGCCTGTACAGGAACCCCCTAATTCTAACAAATGCGCATTAAAATCTCAAGGTTTGACTGCACGGCAAAAGCTCATTAAATTCAACAACACAGCCATCCACAACCACCATCAATCTCGCCAACATATCGAGCTGGAATCGAATCGAGAGCACCAAAAAAAAAAAACAAGCAGCATTTCGCCATCCCCATCCAACCACACCAGATCAGAGCAGAGCGGCATCGATCGGGGAACAGCTAAGAGCAGGGCGCGCACGAGGGCTCACCAGTTGCGGCCGAGGACCTCGTCGGCGCGGTACCCCGTGGCGGCCTCGAAGGCGGCGTTGACGTAGATGACCGGGAAATCCACCTCCACCGCGTCCGACACCACGATCGCCGCCGCCCTCCCCTCCCACGCCGCCGCCTCATCCTCCCCCGCTAGCCCCCCCGGCGGCCTCCACACCCACCCCACCTCCTCCTCCTCCTCATCCACCTCCATCCCCTCCTCCTCCTCCTCCTCCTCCTCGCACAGCTTCATCCTCTTCACCGCCACCACCCCGCCGCCTCCGCCGCGATCCCCCGCATCAAACATCTCTCCTCTCTCCTCTCTCTCTAGAACTTTCTCTCTCCTCGATGTGCTTCGAAATGGCGGAGGCAGAGCTGAGCTGAGCTGGGATGAGACGGTGGGGGAGATATTTTCGCGGCGGGGTTTATATCCGCGCGGGGTGGGTGGGGGAGAAGGGGCAGGGAGTTGGGGGTTAATTACGTGATCTGCCACCAAAATATCTCGCGGGGGGTGGTGGTGGGGGTGGGGCCCGCGCGGGCGGCAAAAGGACGGCGCACGGATGGGGGCCACTTGGGGGGGAGGGGGAAGCATCCAACGGCGCACCTTGTTTTGCTTTTTCCACTCGTGAGAGAGGTGGAGACGTGGAGTGGAAGGGAGAGTATCTTCAGATTGTCAGCTTCACTAGCGTAATTATTTTTTTTGTTCTTTCCCTCTCCACCTCTCTCTTTTTTTTATAGGAAAAGACCAGATATTAGGGGTGTAAAAATCTAAGAGCAAGTTTAGGCTCTGATCGGAAGCGAGGGTTGGGAACGAAGCAGCGTTTTAGTGCGTGATTAATTAAGTTTTAGCTATTTTTTTTAAAAAAATAGATTAATATGATTTTTAAGCAACTTTTGTATAAAAACTTTCTACAAAAAAATACACCGTTTAGCAGTTTGAAAAGCGTGCGGGTGGAAAACGAGGAGGAGTTGGGAACTTATACTACCGAACGGAGCCTAAAAGTAGAGCAAACCACTATCTATAAATTAATCTAAGAGTTAACATATATATAATATATTAGGCTCCCATCGGATGGCCTAATTAGTCAAGAAAAAGTCAAAATTTAAATTTTTAAATTTAATTTTGAGATATTTTCAATGTAGTTTCTTTTTCAGCATTGGCTTTTAAGTCAGAAAAAACATATATATAAAAATTTTGTCTACAGATTTATTTTTATTCTCTAATAAACTGTTTTGGCTTATTAGTGGAAAAGCCAAACGATGACGGGACCGTTAGTTACCAGGTTGTATCTTATGTTCTTCTCCTCTCTATATGTAATTAATTTATTTGTTTACGAGAATGTGTATAGTTATCTCTTGCATAAGAGCTGGGACTCATCGTTTCCCTTGTTCTCTCTCCTTTACATAAGTATATAGTTGGTTTATAGTCTACTATTGAACTTGCTCTAGAGGGATTAGTGAAAATTTGGTTTCTTCTTGTACTAGAGTACTGCATAGAGCATTTAATTACCCCTCAAAAAAATAGTAGAATCTAATAATTGCGTACGCTAAATAAAAGACTTAGGGTTTGTTTGGGAAGCTCGAAATTCTGGGAAGCAATTTCGAAGCAAATGGTGGATAACTAATAGTTAGAATTAAAAAATAGATTTATTAGCTTATGATTTAATATCTACAAATTTTTAGAATCTAAGTGAAAATTTGAACGGTTTAAGCCAAAGATTCCAGAAGTAGCTAGCGGTTATATGCCACTTGATTGAATCTCAATTATGTTTTTTACACATGCAGAGAAAATGTGATAAAAGAAGTATTCTCATTGACGTTTATTGGACACGACTAATTCAGCATCGAAAATACAACACAATACCTAAATATTAAGTTTATAACATGCACACTTATTTTCGTAGTTTGATTCATCGAATATAAGTTTATTGTGTGGATGTTTCTTTTAAGATGGAACATTTTGATCCTGATTCCATGCAGATACATCTGTACGCATTCCAGCCAGAACTAATGCAGAATATCTCAGCCATCCAATCTGAAAGCTACTCATCCAAACTTTGGAAAATATCATGTACCAATAGCGCTAGTCTTGTCAGCAACCAAAATATCCTCTCTCTCTTTTTTCCCAATTAGATTTCCAAGTCTACATCGGAGTCACTGTTGGGAGAAATCATTTATATATCATTCATTCTGTGGCGTCCACTTGTGCACCTAAACGCCTAACGAGAGGTCAGCCAAACCCCAGATCTTATGTACATGTGGATGGCTACCTTAAATTTTAATTAAAAAGTTTTTTTTTGTTGTTGTCGTTGTGATCACTATATATCGCGTAAAGTTATTAAAGGTAATACAGTGTATTATAATTAGACTGTAATGTTGTTTGTCAATTGAGTAATATAAATATCAAGCATCATATAAAAATGCTTAACATACAAGTTAGGTGCAGAGTCTTGTCATAATCTGATAATAAGGAAAATAAGTAACATGAACAAAATTAATTAATAAGTCAATGTCGTAAGCAATTCAAAATATTAAAAAACCTTAGCAAACATGATAAACCTATATGCTATATCACACGTCATGAATATAAATCTAATATCTTCCTAGTACAATGTGATTTGTCTCTCGGTAACAACTAATCTAATAAGAATGTATTCTACGTCACTTTCATAGTCTTTTATTGTCCTTTATTGTAGTCTTGTAGAATAGTAGTAGCTCATAGCAAAACATGGTATCTCCATATCAACATAGCTTGTCACCTGCTCAAATCAAAATTTATTCACAATTTTCTCCCTTTTGCTAGGTTATGCACCTAGTTAATTATCCCAAAGCTAGGTATAAGATTTCATTCTTTGCTAGATTGGGCCTGTTCGGCCGTCTGTTCTGCGGCTGCTTGATAAAACAACTTTTCCGGCAATGTAACAGATATTAACACAACATTTGGCTGGTTACCACTTCCAACTATATCGAAGTTTCACGCCGCGGCAAATCTTATAGTAAGAAAAATAGCAAAAAAAACACATGTTAGACATCACACGGAACCAAAATGTATCCATAGTAATTCCTAACAATTTCTTCACGTAGCTTTTGAAAAGCATCACATAAAGTATCAATTATCAAAAACTATTCCTATTATCATGTACCATCAACCTGCCAACCTTTGCTAATAAAAGGCATCTCACGTGGCTGCAGCTGTCTGCTGCCCAACACCAAACCCCTGAAACGCAAAAAAAAAAAAGAAAAAAAAAGAAAAAAAAAGAAAAAGAGAAGGACGAGTGACCAGAACCTTCCAAAGGCCAGTGGGTACTGGTTAGGCAGCAAAATATCCAGGATGGCAGGGGTCCGTAAATAAGACGCCTAACCCAGGGGCAAATCAGTCCACGCGCTGTGACGGGGAACAATAATATCGTGCGCCGCTGCCGTCCTCCTCCACGCGCACACGCGCTGTTCAGTTGCGGGCTTGCGGCGCGCGAGAAAAGATCTGCGGCGTCGCCACGTCATCACTCGCGCTCGCCGTTCGCCGATCAGGCCCCTTTGGTAGAAAAACCGGAGAACTTTTAAGGGCATTCACAGTGGGAGGACGTGGCATTCAGCCTCGCTCCCAGAAAACGAATATTCGACGACACGTCCTCAATCCGCGCAACAACCTCAGGTCCGCGGAGCCAATTTGAGCTACGCGTTCCTCGTCAAGTTTGCAGGCGCCAGGGCCCATACTCCTGCTCGGCGCTATCATGGAGAGGGAGGAGAGAGACCACACTTGACCATCTATGCGCTCCACGCCGCCGAGAGGCCGTCGCCGTCGGACCGCCAGGGGAGGAGGGCTGCCGGACGCTCGTCGGGTCGATGGGGAAAGCGATGGGGCTGGAGAATCTCGCCGGCTTCCTCCACCCAACGCTGTCGGAGAGAGGAGGCGCCGGAGAAGGGAGAGGCGAGAGCCACCGACGCGGGGAGAGAACCAGCCGTCACGGGGCAGGTCGATCCGCGCCGCCCGCCGTCCCCCGCTTCCGCGCCGACCGCCGAGCTCGCACTCCCTCGCTCCCGCCGCCAGAGGCCGTCGCCGTCGGGCAGCACCGCCGCCCTGTCGCTTGCTGCCGTCGGTGCTCGTGGCGCGCCCCCTGCCCAGCTCCGTCGGCGTTTGTGGCGCCCTGCCGCCCGCCGCCATCGCCGTCGGGCCGCCCCGCCGCTCGAAGGAGAGGGTGGATCTGGCCGTCCCATGGTCATCGCCGCCCGTCTGCCGCTCCTACACCGCTGACGCCGGCGCCGCTTGGGGGGAGCTCGAAGGAGGCGGATCTGGCCGCCCTACCGCCGTCGCCGCCCGTCCGCCGCTCCCGCACCGCCGACCTCGCCGATGCTGCGCTGGCGAGCGCCGGCACCCCGCCGCTGCTCCGCCGGAGATTTCGCCGCTCGGCCCAGCGCCATCGCCATCTCCGGCGATTTCTCTGCGTTGGGGAAAGGAAAAGAGGAGGGAGAGGAAAGGAAAGAAAATGCTAAAGTGATAAAGTAGGTACTAGTGAGACCCATTACAAGGTAACTTGCACTGTGGTGAGAAGCTTATGAGGTTCTTTGTCTACGTGGCACACGAGAAACAGAATAAAATTGGGACGCATTGTGAATGCCCTAAGGATTTAGATCGCATAAGAATAAAAAAGAATATATGAGATTATTTGGATCGAAGGATTAGATCCCTTTGATTCTTTGAAATTACTCCATTCAAACGGTTTTCCTACTATTTTTCGTTCATTAGGATTCAGACATTCTTTTTTTTTTACATGAAAGAGAGAGCTTTATTAATGATTAAAACAGGGGTTACATTCCTTGGTTTAGCAGGTCTAGGATTCTTGCGTTTTAACAGGGGTTACCCTAAACCCTACAACTTTACTATTTTTATGTTTTAAGAATCATATGTTACAAAGAACCCTCGATAACTTTACTGTATGCGTTTTCCTGCGGCATTGAGAATTGTCGTTAAATTATGAAAAAGAAAAAGTACTCAAACCCCAAAAACTTGCCTATCTTGATTCCAGAGACTCAAAACTCTGAGAAGGTTGCATTGAAAATCAAAACAACAATATTTAGCCTCCAAATTTATTTGACAAGAACTTGCGCAACAATGGGTGGGTGCCTGAAAGCACATTGAAAAAAGTAGCCAAACATAGTCAGCAAAGAAAGAAGCAAGATACGATACATATACACACTGATTTTTGTTACTAACGCAAAAAAAAAAGGTGCAAAGCAAAACAACCAGTGGTCTTAGGTGTATGAATTTTGGTGTCCACAAATATTACGCATATACAAACTCTCAATATAATTTTAGTGAGATTAGAGATTTACAGTTGGTTTTTATCTCTTATAGCATGTTTTATGGGACATGT